CAAAAAGTAGTAGAAGTTGGCAATCAAATACCACTGGAAAGTGGGACCCCTGATATATACAGTAATCCAAATCAACAATGAGTTAGGCAGTTCTGTAAATAAAACTGATTTTCAGCTATTCTCTAGAATTTTAAAACTCAAAGGATTATTTTTTAGCATCCAAACCATGCCCTGCTATTCTTTTTGTTTGAGCAGAATTAGCATCAAGAATAAGAAAACTTGTTTGCTCTCCACTCTACATCTTTTTTCCCCCAAATCTCTGTCAGTAGATATTTAAGACAGAAACGTTGAAGGAAAACCTTTTTTTAACACAAGCCTTGCCCCACAAGTTTATCTGTTCAGCTTTTCCAAGACAGCCAATGGTCTTCTGTATACTGCTAATTCTCATGTATGTATCGACCATCAAAATTACAAAAATGCAGCAATATATTGCAATAGACACATCAAAATTAAACAGAGGCCCAAAAGCAAGAGATTAAAAACTCAAAACAACAGGGTTTTAGGGAACGGAAAGTAACTGCTACCTCACAATTCCTATACTTACTGTTCATTACTATTATGCTCCAGTGACTGCTCTTTTGATTTTTATTCCACCTTTGCTATTGTATTCAAGTGCTAGGTACTACAGAAATTATAAGTATTCTTACAGTATCAAACAATTCTGCCAGTTTTGTTTGAACTACACAGTACTTATCTTTCTTACCCTTTAAGGCCATCAGAATTATTCAACCCTAGTCAAAAAAACAAACTGGAGAAAATTCATGTCCAAAATTATATTTTTTCATCTTGATAATCATCACATCCTGCAACTCAGCACACTGCTATTGAGGCACGTATACTGGCAGCTTTTGGCTGCTGTACTGGTAATGCCTACCACATTTAAAGGGAAGTGATCAGGTCCCTGGATACACTTCGATGAGCTCTGTAATGAGATTTTAAGAGTATATTTTTAAATCTAAAGCATCTATTCACAGCCAAAAACCTAATGAAGGACTTAAATCTATTCTGGGACACTTAACCCTCATCAGTCAAAAAAATGAGGACAGCTCTTCAAACACGGCAAGATTCTTCTCGCAAAGCAAGGTTATCCTATCACTTCCACTTCTCTTGTTCTTTACGCTTCAACAGCATTTTTACTAAATTGATTCAAGACATATTCCCTGAAGGCTTCACAGCAGATTTGTAGTTTACATCAGCTAGACATCAAAAGCAATACAGAAAAGTTTGTTTTGCTATATTCAAGATTAATTAAAAAAATATTTAAAATGCTAAAAAAAGAAAACAAACAGACTTAAAAAATGAAGTTATGACCCTACTTTACACACAAATATAACAGGTCCTAACAAAGCTCTGTCAGGCTACTGATATCAGCTGTTATCAAAGCCACCTGGCAGTTCTTACTTAAGACTATTTTCAGCTGCTTTTTTAACTATTCAGTCTGAAATTTTCTATGTCAATTGTCTGCTTCAGGTAGTTTCTCCTCACCTTACTCTCACCACATTTTAAAAAAAGTCAGAGAATGGCTAGAACATTTTTCTACTATGAAAAGACCTGGGAAATAAGCCCTTGCAAGCTCTTCCTTTGAAAAACTAACCACTTTCCTGCCCTGAATCAGTAACTTGAAATCACGCTGGACAATATTTTTGTATGAGGGAGGTACACTTTGCTCATTTTGTGAAAAATCTGACCTGATTTAGCCAAGCTACAAGCTTCTAGAAATCAGAATTTGTACGTATTTTTCAGCAAGATCTGCTGGAGCTTAATAACCAATCACCAAATAGTCCATCCTCAGTGACCTTCTGTATGACATCTCAATGTAGGAGGCAACTGAACTAAGTTTCTTCTAACCTCTGGTTATGAGTGAAGACCCAAATTTTCACTGTAAGAGAAGTCTCCATTTAACAGGCATTAGGTACAACACTAAACAAGAAGTGTTGTCTTGCGTATTTCTGCAACCTCACCTATGCTGATATCCCTACCATAGTTGAAAAAAGGCTTGTCACTTCATATTGTTGGGTAACTGGGTAGGATTTAGGGTATACCGACAGAGCGCATGGAGGGAAGATGGAGAAAACAGCTTGTAGTGGAGACTAGAACAGGAAGCTTGAAAGATTAAACCAGGATTGACTGGATGAGGAAATAAAATAAGAGGAATGTTAAGAAGATGTGGCAGTAGATGAGAGAAAAATTAAGCCCAATGAGCAATCCCCAGGCAGAACAACTCAGAACTGGGGATCATCAGGACTGAATAGAGCAAGGGTCAGAATATATCTGAAAGAGCTGGATTTTAGTCAATATATGGGGAAGGGAGCTGGGTCACAACAAAAGACTGAGAAAAGACCCACCACCAGGAGTCAGAAACATAGACAAGAAGAAAAATCAACAGAAGCAAAGGAGAGTGAGAAGAATTAGCAGGCAGGCAAAGGCTGACAGCAGAGAGACAAGGTGCAGTCAGAAATGGTCTGGGACTAGTCAAGCCTAAATATTTGATTGAAAAGACAGGATCAGCACTGCACTGGAGATTGGCTTGAGGCAGGGACAAACTGGAAGTACAGGCAAAACCCTAAAAAAGTATGTGTCTTCAGAAGCTATTGAAAAACATAAAATGAAATACCCTAAAGACTTATCATTCTCTGCAAATATCTGCAAACCCCCCTCTTTCCTTCTCTGAAAAAATATCCCACTTTTCTCTACTACTGATAAAAATACAGTATAACAACCCATAACTCTGTTACTTTATTAATTCAAGCAAGAGTAATCTTCATGTACTAGATTTAAAAGCTCTAATCCTGCTAATTATCAACATGACACCCATATTACAGAATATTAGCCTTCTCATTTTTCTATTTTTTGGTTGATTTTAACTAGAAAATTACATGTAGAAGCACATTTGCAAAATATTAAACAAATACCAAGCTTGGAATTTTAAGTCCCTGGACATCAGAAATTCTTCCATTTAAGTTTGTCTACTAGCATTAATTTTGTCTTTATTACTACATTATCCCAAGCTATTTTTTCTACCCTATCTCATTCAATTAACAGGATATTTTCTGGGAATAAATCCAAGTTGTATCTTGAAGGATGGCACTCTCTTTAAGAGCCTGCTTTCAATTACATTTCATATTATGGAACCTAAATGTTACATAGAAGAACAGGCTTTTAATCTGAGCTTTTGCCAAAGGATTCTTAACTGGCTGCATTAATTACATTATTGTGTATTAACAGTAAATTGCAAGACCTTTCTAAGCTTTTGCATTCATGAAAAATGGCACTTTAACACCATTCACTCTCCAGTACTCTAACTGCTTGTTGCAATCGAACTGGATCCATTGTGCAACTTCAGGATGCTAAACAGCAATAAACTAACAGAAGTCAAAGTTATCAGATAAAGCAGAGATGTAAGCTTCTCAGATCACTAGAAATAAAGATGATTGCATTCTCAGTTTTCACACATAAGCCAAAGAAACTATGCAAAGAAAACTCCCGACACACACTGCTTTTTTATGTGACTCCAAGAAATATGCATTATTGTTTACAAGGTACTTTTTCTTCCTCTGAAAGCATTTAATTTCATTGCTGCTTCTTATCAATTTATTTTAATGTCAAGAACAGTCACAATATATCCTAAAATAAAGCACTCTTTAATGAAAGATTTAGAATTAATAACTAGTAAGAATACTAACTAACAAGATTTTAATTTTAGGCATTAAGAGAATCTACAGAGTAAAATAAAGGGGCTTGTAATAACTGTATTGGAGTATAACTTACCAAAATACAAATTTATAGAAATATCTAGTATTTCCTTACATCCTCAGTTCAAAAATACTATTCATTAGAACATTTTAAAGACATTCTGAAGGCTAAGTTTAAAGTTAGAGATATTAAAGCTTGTTTTAAAAAGTTGAACCATCGCAACATTCAGCTCAGGGTAAGTGTCGATTTAAAAAGTCTTGAGTTGTGATATCTACTTTGCTCCCCAGGCTGTGTTACATATCCAGCTTTGAGGTCCATACCAGGCATCTTGACTCCAACACTGTTTACCATGCAACATACCGTTCAAAGAAGCTAATACATATCTCATGATCCTATGATTAAAACTGGCAATTTAGGCCCAATTCTGCAATGTTCATGCAAACTTGAACTTCAGAAATGGATTCTGGCACAAAGCAAGCAAGCAAGCTCCGGTCCTTGTTTCTTTACTGTAGATAATTTCTAACTTACCTCTCCAAGCTGTGGCTGAAAAATCCAATTATTTACATTTGAGAGATTTCAGAGCTTCCAAATGGCTCAAGAAAAAACCCATAATACATTGTTTGCAGCTTTTTACTGAATGGTATTCCAACACAATGGCACATCAAGAGTTTCTAAAATAATTTTAGGCAACTGATTTTTGTGCAACTGACCATACTATTCATGTATAGCTAAAAAAACCCCAGGATCTAGTACAGCCTGTCCCTCTACCTCCTCCTTCTATTATCTCCTTTAAAGAGGGGAAAAGAACTGATCTTTATTTTCAAGGAGAGTAACGCTTGCTGTTCATGCACACATCTGTACAGTGGTGATTACAAATCTTTGTCAAAACAAGCAACAGCAAGCAGCTGCTTGACTGCTTTGCACTGTTTAGTTATACTAGCAACCTTTAGTTTTCTGGAAAGCAACCCAATGACCAAGATCAGTAAGAAACTCATTATCAGCAAGAATAGGCTCAAAGTAACTGGATGCTGCACACACTCAGACCCATACATAGTTTCACGAGAAGGCTATATATGCAGCAGCCCTCTTTCACTCCTCATCTGCCACGGCTTGGTGCAGTCTGTATGCTGTAAGGCTGCTCCCATGGAGGCTTTGAACACTCTTAAATACATCAATGGCAGACTTACTGAGGCAGATAGGAATGGTATTCTAGTGTTCTGTTTCATCATCAAGGATAACAGCCAGAAAAGTAGTAACGTTTCAAAATGCAAAACTAAAAAACTGTCTATAGAGTAGAAAATGCTTACCTGCTGAGCTAAGCAAAACACTGAAGTCTGTTCCTCTCTGTGATCCCCCATGTTCACTCTGTCCCTCTTTTTCTGTATCCTCATAACGGCTCCAGTTGGAAAAAATCTTTCTTCTTGAATAGCTTTTCAGTTCTTCCTTCTCTTCTTCCTCTCGTGATTCATTATCATCCTCCTCCTCTACCTGTGACATTTAAATGGCCAGTTAAGCCATTGCAACTCAACAGCATTTTGTTCTGGATTTAAACAGTCATGCATACAAACAACTCCAACCACAGAATTAAAACCCAGAAAGACAAATCAGCCTGGATCCCCATCAAAATTTCAGAACAGACCACCTTGCTGAACTGTATGTAATTCATCAATAGTATAATTAAAAGGACTTAGTGGAGCTTCAGTTCTTACAGGGGTCACACAGTAACACTGATGCAAGTTCCACTAGTTTCCCTCCTATTCTGGAAGCCCACAATGAACAGCTTCCTTCCTGAAACTTAGAGCAATGCGTAGGGAGCAGAACTAAGAATTTAATCACAGTATCTCTGTCCAAGTGTTGCAGTCAATGTCCTAGCCCAAACTCTATCAAAGCTCTAGGGTCAAAAGAAGAACTCATTGCAGAGTCAGCTTAAGATGCAAGCAAAATAGGCATTTGCCACAAGCACTCAACAGCTGTGGAAAACTCTCCCCGCTCCCTTCAATCCTCTCTATCAACAGAGCTCTCCTCTCCCAGAGCTTGGGGTTCAGCTGGAATGACTATTGGTTCACAAACAGAAAGATCTGCTTCCTGGAAGAAGGAGTACTCAACTGGCAAGAGGAGAACCAAGAACCACCAGAAAAGTTCTGTACAAGATATTTTCTGCAGAGGTCTAAAGCTCTGAAGAGGTGGAGTAAGGGAGTCAAGAAAGAAGAGATTCCG